ACTGTAGCAAATAAAAATGTTACATGAGGAGACAATATTTGTACACCACTATTTTTAGAATGATACAGACCACAGGACTTTTATACAGCCAAGTAGTCAGTTTATTAAATACTTGGCATGTAAGAAAGGTTAGGAAATAAGAAAAGGTCTGTTGATAGCATAGACTGAAATCCCTTTTGTTTCCTGAATTACTATATTTAAAGATTCAGAAACTAAAAAATAACTTTTGTTGCAACTGTTAATGTAATTAGAGAAATTACTCCAGAGTTCGTGGAGCTTCCCCTTTCTGCAGGGGATTGCTGCAGCCAAAACATATAGTGAGGAGTTTTGAAAATAACTACGATAGCTATCTCTCTGTACACAATTTATTTTTAAAGTAGTTCAGTTCTCTCTTGTAAAAAGAGCATTATTTGAAAGATCGACTTTGACCTCGCCCTCCAGCCACATGTACACTTTTAGCTTTCATGGAAGTCAGAATGAAGTTTCTGAAAATTACAGGTTTTCTCCCCTTTGGAGTCCTCCTAACCGACTAATAAACCCCACCGCTCGGAAAGGCTCTGTATCCCTGGAGGCTTGCAGCGGGAATGCCGCGCTCTCTCGCCTCAAGACAGATCTATAAATAAGCCCTCGCCATCATGTCCTACATACCCCACAGCCTCAGCAGGGACGTTTGTGAACGCTCACCTGCAAGAGCTGCCTGCAGAAATGCCTCCCTTGGCTGGTAAAGGCAGTTTTGTTTCTGAGTGGGAAATGTTTTGTACATTGAAACATTTTGCATTCTAGCCTTGACTGTCTCCCATTAAGGGTGCATCTATCTGACTGTTAGATTTTGGATTCTCCTTATTAAATAAACCAAAATTAACCAATAATTTTTCTAATGATGTATTTATAAGGATTTCCTCATTTATGCTAAAAGTACAGTGCACGATAATTGAAAATTATAATATGAAATTAATATTATTTTATTAAAAAGTATTTATTGTAATATGTAATATATATTATTATAATAATTTATGACTATTCCACTATGTGTTAGTATTATTATAGTTTATATATATTCCTTAGAATATGTACTAAACATTATTATAATATGTAATTATTATAATTTATAATTATTACTCTGGATAATTTCATTTTATTGATGACAATATTACTCTTACACTTAATGGAAAGGCTACATTATGCAATGACACTGGAGAAGTTGAGCATGCAAATTAATTGTGCACCTGCACGAAATAATTTAGAAAAGGACTTTTAAATATTTAAAAATCTGCTAAATATTATTATAAGCTTTATAGCACACTACATTTCAGAACGAAGCTTGTACTAACTCAGATAGGAATAAATTACTGAATTGTAAAAGGGAGGACATTATAGTCAAACTTTTCAGTAAATTAAAGTATAACATTCTACAACCCTCTGTGTAACAGCACCCACTAATGTAGCACAATTTTAATAAAACATTTATTTTCTGTTTGCTTTTAATCTTCGAAGTGTTTTTGAAACATCGCTTCTGGGCACATATTGAAAAAGATCATTCGGTAACCCAAATACTGAAATAAGGCATTAGGCTGATTTATTTAATCACCAAGGCTAAAAAAACAAATCAGGAAATGCAGTCAGCAATATTAAAGACTATTAACAACCTGCCACATAGCAGACTCTATAACCATAAAGAGATTCTCAATAAAACTAAATGGTCTCACACACAAATATGTGTTCTCCTTTATGAACTTCAGGAGAAACCCCCATGTTTAAAATAAAAACAATCAAGAAGCATTTCAAGAATCAAACCATTCATTATAGATATAGAAGACCTACTCATGAGTGTCACCGCTAAAATTGTCAAACGGTGACTTTCATTTACATCTTATATCACAACTGAGCACTAAGTTAAAAGCAGATTTAATTGTTTTATTCTACTTGTGTTTTAGGATTGACCAAAGCAAATCAGCAATGTATTGCTTGTAGGTATGAACTGTATTTAAAGACCGACCAGTTAAACAGATATTCTTTAATAGGTAAGACTGCTGATCAAGTTCTGGCCCCTTTGATGCTCAACAGGCATTTTGCCAGTGCCACCCGTGAAGCGGTGTTCCACCAGCCCGACTGCTGCTAGAACAGCTGCAGGCGTGCACATCGTCGGGATGAATCTGGCACTGTCACCGACCCTGGCTCGTATCTGACAGTGGTGACCTTTACTCACTTTGGTAATAACAGTCGCTCACCTGATATATAAATTTTGCCTCATAAACTGGCGGTAAGAGTTTCTTAGAGAGCAGGTCCCGTAGCAGACAGCACAGTGCAATGTCAGTACTGGCACTGCCCAAGGACACAATATAGAAGGTGGATGGAGAATGACAGATCCAGAGGATCACCCGAATGCCATCCAGTAGGATGCAAATGGGTCAGCTATACCTAAAGTCATCTGGACTGCAACAAAAGGTAGTGACTATGACTACTTTCTTTTAGAAACAGGAGATGGGGGGAGAGTGGGTGTTGTCACCTGCAGTCTACATGATAGTTTAGTGATGAGAACACTCACCTGGACAGAGGGAGACCTGGATTTCAGCCTTTCTGTAGCTCAAGGCACTTCAAATCCACAACTCCCAAATTCCAAAAGATTGCTTGACCTGCTACACTTTATAGACAGAGCCAATCCGCACACTTCAAAGCTTAAAGAATTTGAGAACTTTCAGAAAAGGAAGGGTATGAAGAATAATTTTGGTTTCTTGTTCCTGCCTTCATGATTGTTTTAATAGTAGAGTCTCCTCTGACAAAATGCACCAAGGAACAATATGAGCAAAGGCAGACTGAAGACTGGCTTCCATCCTGCATTACACCGAGTGTCTGTGAACGCCTGCAAGCCTCTGCATTAGCTTCCAAGTGAGTACTCCAACTACTGCGTTACTGTCAAAAGACTCTTCTTTTTACTTCTGTCATAAAAATTGATCTCAGCTCAGTTAAATGACTTCCTTCAAGAATGCTTTGCTCTACACTAAGTGGAAGGAGATGCTTTATGTACAGTCCTGAATAACTGTCAAAACTCCTGAGGGATGCATTGCAGCCACACTGGCATTTCCTATGCCCTGGTCCCACCCGATATGCTTAATGAACCTTTGGCAGCGTCTCTTTGCACAGGTAATCAATGTAACTGCAGGAATCCTGACTTCTTGACCCTGACTTGATCTGTGGATGTCCTTAGCTCCTGTCCTATGCATCCATACATAGCAGGGCCCTTAGCTTAAATACTCTGAATCTCACTGTCGGAGCAATGCTCTTTTGGGGCATCGTGACTCTTAAATAGCAACAAGTAACCAGGACTCCAGCAGGAGCAGCCAATGAAAGAAAATTTGAGTTGAGGAGCTAAGTGCAAAAAAGTGAACAGAAATAGAGATGGCTGGAGATACAGATGCAAATGAAATAACGGAGCAGTTCATGAGTTACAAGAATATGGAAAAAGTTGAACAGGTGAAAAGAAAGGCTTCTGTTGCAACTATATTTTTAATATTCAGTTGATTTTAGCAATGATATTTTAAGTACTCTGAAGCTTTTTGTAAGCAGTTGCCAAAGTAGCTCGTAGCAACTGAAGCTAGCTGATCCCTGGGGAAAGGTACTGTTCAGGAGCAGAGTCATGAGAGGGTCACCTCGGCATAAGTGGGGAGGGGGCTGGGGGGAGGTTAGGAAGAGTTGGATGTTGAGGACAGCAGTGGTTCTGCCACCAGCTTCCATGTGCTGCCACACCTGCCAGCTCTCACCCCCGTGCAACTCTCTGTGACCAGTGGAGAAGGACCAACTATGACTGAGCTCACCAAAGACCTGGTCTGCTCTCTGGAAGTGACTGTATCAGCTAAAACAGGAGAAACCCAACAGGGCAACTGCATTCCTAACCTAAGTATTCTTCTTATGCACCTAAATTTAGATTATGTGAAATATTTTAAAAATAAACCGTCCTTAAAATTCTTCTCAGTTCTTTGACATTTCCCTGTATTTAAATTTAAAAATGAGAAAACTTCTTAACATCTCAAATTTTCCAAAACCCCTTGAGGCTTCTGCCCATATATTGTTCATTGATCTCATGGCTAGCATATTAAAACAATTCATGAGAAGCTCATTAAAACCTAGCAAGAAAAGTCTTCTGATGCATTTCATCAGAGGAGATAATAGCCTACAATCTAGAGCATGAATATGTTATAAGAAACAAAACAGACCCATTCAGACAAAGAACACTTGGAATGTATTGTTCCCATAAGCAGATGTTAAATTACTTCACTGTAAAATGGAATTTACAAAACCCAAAGAAACGTTATTTTTGTGTGAACAAACAAGATTAGTTTATTATTTCAGCAGGGTGACACAAAATTTTTGTACATGTGTCTCACCAAGTAAGCAGATGTGTTGAATGTAAAAAATGGTTGTTGACCAAAAATACCACATATATCTAGAAGTATTGACAGAGTAAGGTAGAACAGGTGTATCCTGACTGGTATACTAGCTCAAGCATGAATATAGTTGTTTCAAAAACCTATCACAGATAAGTCAGCTGGCTCAAGATTAAACTGTCATCTTAGTGGAACTACAGATCCTTGTGTGCAGAGAAGACAAGGATCAGAGTCAACTCTCAAGATATACCTTGAGATAAGATGGATACAAAGAAAGCTCAGAGAAAGCCTCAGCCTTTCCTGGGAATTGTTAATATCAAATACATCCAACATAAAGCAAAATGAAAAAAAAGTGCTGACTTCACCCTTAGGTAAACACTTCAGGGTTGTCATGTCCTGAGGGATATTGTTCTCAGGCACGTGTTCATTGTTACTTTTCTTATCAAAACCAAATCTTACAGTCCATAAATATTCATTTCAGAACTGTTAAAAACCACTCAGACTGCAATTATCTACCATAAAGAACCTATTGATATTGTTTGTAATTCATTCTCACAGTTAGGTATAACAACATGAAACTATGTGTAAAAGCAACATATTAAATGTCAATGTACTTACATCAGTGTCAGGTCCCTTGTCAGCCCCAGGACAAGAGAAGGTAACAAACTCATGGCATCTCTTATGAACCACAAAACAGCAAACTAGTAAGAAAAGAGAAACCAGTAGTTAGAATGGCATAGGTTTTGGTTGTTGTTGTTTGGTTTTTTTTGTTTGTTTTGGTTTGGTTTGGTTTTTTTTTTTTTTTTGTGTGTGTGTTGTTTTTTGTTTCTTGTAACAAATAGGATTATAGAGGAAATAAAACTCAGTCATATATTTCACCTGTAAGTTAATGAAAGAAAGCAGAGCCTAACATTAAATACACACAAGAAAGGCAGACATCAAGTACACAATATAGAGGAGATAATCATGCCCATTTAAAAATCAAAAGACTCTACACAGTGATAAATTTTTAACATTTAAGACAGCCCACAGTGTTAAAATACAGTGTGGGATGAACAATTATATGAAGCCACATTTCCGGAATCTAAATCCGTATCTGTAACAGGAACTGTTGATGTGCATTCAGGCAAGAGCAGAAGGCATAAATGAGGAATGTTCAGCTGGCATGAAACCCATCCTTGGGTAGGGGATTTGTTCACCTGCATGTCTTGGTGAAGATGTCGATGAAGATCCAATGTCTTTACTAGTTAATTACTTCTATGAGAAACCAAAGCTCTGAGTTAAGACTTGTAGAGAACAAAGTGTTCTCATATCACAGAATGACAGGAGATAATGGGAAAAGAAAATTAGCTCCTGATTACAATGAGACTCCCATTTAAAATTTATGAATGATCTCAAAGAACTTTTTCTTTCTGAGATAAGGAAAGCTCATTTTAATTTAATTATGTCATGTGACCAAGGCTACAGGTTGTCACACAGCATAGGTCATACATGTCACCCCCAAACCACATAAAAAAAACAATTTGCTTGAGTGTGCTTACTTTGAGAAGCAGGTATTTTAGCTTTTCACCCTCACTACAGATTCTTTCTTAATGTTAAGCTTTGTTCAGATATTTCAAAATTGGTCCACATTTCAATAAAACAGAACAATCTAGATTTCAGATTGTGAAAATCTTGAAATAAACACCGTATCATCAAGCAGTGATTTGGGTGATGATAATGGAATGATTCAAAAGTAATTCACAATTTCTTTACAGATAATACATTCCCTGAACACTTTAAATTTTGCATTTCCAATACACAAAAATACACTATTTCAAGGGACACTTCTAAAGAATAAAACAGATTTCAAATGATTGGCAATTGCAAACACTGAATTTCCTCAACTTCAGAGGAAACCCAGTTACATTATCTCAGTTTTCATGAGGCATCTTTAACAGTTCTCTTTCCCATATAAAGCATATGTGAATTCCTTTCACCTAATGAAGAGAGCCAAGAAAAATGTTATCGAGTGCACCTTCATGTCATTGCAGCACACGATGATTCCACCATAATGCCAGGCTGGCCTCATTCACATCCTTAAGTCACCCATCTGGCTTTAAAGCATTCTAATCCCCCTTATATCTTTCTCCAGCTATTTTTCATCATCATCCCATGCAGCAATTGTTTCCAACTGTTCTATTTCTGACATAGCATATGTTTATTCTTTGGGCAAATGGAATAAAATGGGTTTTGCTCCACTGATTCCAGATAAGCTCTGCCGAATTCACATGAGCCAGAGCTCTGGCTGAATGTATGCTTCCCACTTGGTTGTCTAGTTTCTTAATCAATCTAAATTCCAATGAATCCTACAATTATAATTTTGATGCTTTGTTTCTACCAACCGAAGACCACTAAGTGGGAATTACTATTAATACTACTTGCAGCTGAAAAATGTTTCGTTTCCAAATTCTAATTTTCGTTCCAAACCTTCCACTCTTGAAGACTAGTCTGATTTATGTTTGCAGGAGTAAACCACGAGCATAAATAAAATCTTGTTACATCCTTCAGAAAACAAAAAAGTTAACTAATTACTTTTGTATGCAGTGATCATACAGTTGCAAAATACAACATAATAATCTATGCAAAAGATCTGAGAAATATCTCTGGAAAGGTAATAGAACTGAGATGCTTTACCTTTGCCTGCCCTTCAAGTAAGGATCTTAGACTGGCTACTCCAACTCTGCTTTTACTCAGCAAGAGTGTATGTTACAAAAAACCCTGCATATTTGGGCATCTATTTCAGGCAATATTTATGAAATACCATAGTCACATCCTATCTCTGAGTTGACAGCCTCTCATAGAGTGTTAAAGAATTCATTCAACTAGAGACAATGTCGACCTTGTTTTTAATATGATATAAGTGTCAAGATAGATAAGTAGGAAAAACAGTGTCACTCTGCTACAGCTTCATTCTATGGCTATGAACTTTAGCAACTAACTTCCGTGACAATGATGCTAATCACACTACAATGGAAACTCCAATTCAGCTGCCAAAATAAGTAAACCAGACAGCATTTGTCCTTTAGGAATGTAGCTACAATTCAAAAAAAAAGTCACTTATTAAGGCTTCAACTATCAGTGTTGACTACTGAACTATTTAAAACCTTTCTGTTCAGTCTACTAATTGACTGCTGTGTGCACCTCAACATAGCATCTCAATTCTTTATCTTTTATTTCCTATTTGAATTTCTATCGGGTTACCTATCTCCTCTGGTTCTTTAGTAAGCAATTCGAAAGCATCAGACCTGTGTCATCTTTTGAGAATACTCAAATGAGAACCAAGTAGTTTGACATAAGCAACAGAATAGGCAACTGTCATGGAATCATAAATCTAAAGGGAAAAGAGTAAGGATGAACTAAAACCACTTGTTAGCAGCCATCAATTCCATGCATAAAATCTAACATCCAAATTTTCATTTTGAAATCCAGCCATTAGAGTGCATTTTAGCATTAGTTTTTACAGTTTCTTAATTTCACAAAGCAATACAGAGCTAGAGAATTCATGTAAAAACTTACTTGGTTCGGATAAGTGCAAACAAAATCTCATCTGCTTGAAATAACATGACATTTTTTTTAGGAATAGAGATCAAAAATAAGCTCGCACTTGTTACTTGTTTTGAAAAGATGTTAATAGCTTCACATCATTTATTGCAGCTGTTGAGAAGTCACATTATGTTCACCACCTTCTTGTAATGAAAGTTATATTACACTACTAGGCAGAGACTGCCAGGAAATTTCTTGCTTTATATTTTAACAAGCATGTAAGTAGAAGCAAGCAGGCACACATTATGCAGAGCAGCCCAAGAGCAAGTGGTACCTCGAGGCTGACAGTTAAAATTAAAAAGAAAATTACTGAGGTATTTTCATGTTCTGACAGCATGGTTTTGGTCTGTGGTATATATAACATGGTTGTGAGCTTCCATCCTTTCCAGCTCTGGACTTGCTGGAGACAAATACCCTCTGAGCAGCCGAGGGAGGGAGCAAGGGGAGGGCACGGAGGGAAGGGAGAGAACAAAACAGGCCTTGTGTTGCAAAAACAGACTAACTGCTAGTTCTCCACTGGCATGCTGCATCCCTCACCCTCCTTCTCCCAGCAATGCCGCAGAGAGCAGAGAATGCTAAATGAATACCATGAAGACAAGGAAGAACGTGCTAAGAAGCATTCAGTGCATTCTCAAAGCAAACAAGCAGAAGCTGCACTACATGATTTGTGGGATCTATGATACATAACGGAGGGCAAGCAATTCTATCCAACACTCTTCTTTCAGTGCATAATACTGAGAAAAACATGTCATTATTAATAATGTATATATATATACACTCAGCAGTCACTTAGAGTTACAAGGCACTGGCATAAATTTCAAACTGTTTTCCAAATTACACGATGTGTGAAGGTTATCATGATATATTGTCGGGTGCGAGTTATCTGATAAAAAATACTGTTACTAGTAGCTTTCATACATGACACAGACTGATGAGACAGAAATTAAATATTACAATAATAAATAACAGAAGCAATCTTCTCTATTAGATGATCTATGAAGGAGAAAACCCATTGTTGAGCCCCAGTCGCCTACACATCATTTAGCCATATGTCTGAAAAGCTCTACAACCACAAGAACTCCAAAGAACTAGGGGCAAAATATCAAGACAAAAGCAATATACTTTACGATTTGGAATTATTAGAAAATGTCCAACAGCTATTTTAAAAAATCACTTTTATACTCCCACTTGTGGAAGAAAAACAACAGGCAAGATGAGCCTTTCCGATAGACATGAATATCTCGACTACACCACAGTATTTAATTATTCAGTAAAACAAATTAAGCTGCAAATATAAAGGGTGCAGAGAATGCATTTCTAAGAGAGTCTAGCTGAACTGCCAGTTGTCATCTATAGAGAAATCAGTGAGGTTTTTCAAGTCATTTTTGACTCATTTTTGTAATAGTCAGGATTATTCTCCCAACTCAAATGATAAATTTATAAAATCTTAACCACCGTAAAAATTGTGTATCATCTTCCCATCTAAACAAACTTCAAATATGTGGCTCCACTGTCATGACATCATTAGTTGCCCAACAACAGGTATACATCTTCTTGCCTACATAATTCGTTTCTAGGTTTCAAGTATTGATTCTTCCAAAGGAAGTGGTAGAAGAGGTCTGATTGGCAACAACAGGGAAATAACTCTGTGTACACTCAATATTTGTTGTTTGGTTTCTGCTTTTGGGTTTTGAACAAGAATTGATTCTGAATTGGACTAAGGAGTTAAAACAGAAGTATAGTAAGCATGAAATCACTCTGTGCATTACTCTCAAAACGTACTAAAGAACTTTAAGGGCCTCTACAGTAGCTTGGAGCGCTGCATAATTTTTATGTTGCTGTTTCGCATGCTTTGCATTTTCAGTGAGGCCACAAAATTTCCCCAAGGGGCCCATATTACTGGCTGACTTGTGTTTTCTGCACGACACCAAGCAATGAATGAATTTGTCACATGGCATGCATTAGTTCATTCTAAGATCAAATATAGCAATTACATTAAACAAAAATAGGGTACTAATTCAAAATAGACAAATAATTTAAATACCAATTACATTTGTTATTTAAATAAGCAGTACTGTTTAAATAAATTTACTAGAATAGTCTAAACTCAATAATA